AGGGAAAACTTTATTGAAAACACCTCAGTTTACCCTATGATATCTTGCACTGATATCTCTCAGGATACACAAAAGCTGTTTTCTTCTCTGTTCCCTAACATTTTTTCTGTCTCTTAGCCAATTATGAAAATTTTGTAGCATGAAACACTCTTCCTTTTTAACTTATGAATACGATTTAATAGAGTTTGAAATCTATAAATGCATGTACAATAAGAAATTTTGCTAAATAACAAATAACCTTGTTCCAAGTTTCCTTTTTTTTTTTTTACAAGATAATATATTTATCATTGTTTTTCTTTTTTTTTTCTTTTTTGGTCTTAGAATTAATGTATAAATAAGGGAACAATTCAGGCAAGGTTATATTCGTTTTTTTTTTCTTTAAGTCTCATTGTTTTCAGCAGAAGATAACTTAAGCAGATGCTTATATCTCCCCTTTGAATCAAAGGGATTTTTGATAATGCTTATCTTTGGCTGGATAATCCTCATTCTGTATTTTTTTCCTGCAGAATAGTTTGAATAAAATCACCATTTATTTAATGTAGCTTGTACATAGTAGGGTAACAAATCCTTGGGCACAATCTTGCCCCTTCCACATCTGTATTGTGTGTAAATGGGGCAGAATCCTTACTGGGTTTCTGTGGATACCCATTTTTTTCCACATTTCTTTATGGGAGCAGTATGTATTTCAATCTTCACATAAATGAAAATGTCTTGGTAACGATGTGGAAGCTTTATGCTATCTATCTCAGATATTAAACTTTAATATCAATATTTTTATATAAAAAGTCAATTTGGTTTTAGCTAATATAAATCTGGGTGTTGCCTTTTCTTGTCTTTAATTTAGCTAACATTTTATTACTCCATGCAAATGTGTTAGATATAAACACACAGCACAGATTTTTCATACCTCTGATAACCATTAAGAAAACACAGGTCATTATGATGATTTAACTGCAAACGTTTTTGAGTGAATTTTAAAACTGTAAGGAAAGATGGTAAATAAAATAGACCAAATGGATGTACAAACTTTACAGGAACCAAAATGAATGTCACAGTCTAACAATTAAAAGTGCTTAGTTCTCTGATCTTTTGAGTCTAAGCAGGCTTACTTTACTGTTAGATTATGATCTTGGTTCGTTCTTGCTGTTTTCTTTTATAAAATAAAGATGCTTTTAAATTATTTTCTGAACTTTTCTATGTAAATATTTATTTATCTCATGTGCTCACAGTAATTGAAGGCATATTTTATTGCTGTCTTTTTATTACTGAATAATATTGCCTTATTATTGTCCTTACATCTCTATTTTTGTTTTCTTCAAATCCACAAGTGAGAACTTCACTTGTTTGCATATGGTATCTCATCTGCTTTGGTCTTAAATTAATTTTAAATGGCACTGAATTGAACCTGATGGATTTTTTGTTGTTTTTTGTGTGTGTATGCATTAATAATAGTGAACTTGTGGCTATTTATTTATTTTTTAAATCAGCCATATTTCATTTGAGTTGGTTCAGAATTTTATAAAATTCAGTTTCAAAAGTTTTGATAGAATTTGTATTTCCACTTGGTTTATATTGTTAAATTTCATTCAACAATTTCCATTATATTTAATTCTCTTATCAGTTTCTTCTTTTGTTTATTTATGTTACTGCTATGTTTAAAATAAAATAAAAAATTGATTGAACCATAGGTTTAAGGTTGTATTTCTTCTTATATGCTGTCCAGATCTTATGCAAATTGTTTAATAGATTCTAGAGCATTTGTGAATAATATTGTATATAGCAGTGCAATCAAGTACTTCTCTCCATAAACATTACTAATAAATTTATAACACAATCTTAAACATCTTGACTTGGAAGGAACATTCACTGAATTCCACATATTTACTCCTAGATAAATAGGTGAGTATAGAATTACAGCACCGATTTACAATTCATGCACTTTAATACATAGGAAATCAATATTTTAAAATGGTTAAGAAAGGCAGAAGTAGTTTTCATGAAACCATTGTCTCTACAGACTGTTGGCAGGTCTAAGGCAGGGGTGGGTTTCTACCTGTTCGCACCTATTCGCTAGAACCGGTTGTTAACATTCTAAGCAGTTCGGAGAACCGGTTGTTAGAAGAAATTACTGGCCTAATCCTGTAAGGAAGGCAGGAAGGAAACATTCTGGTGTTGCTTACAGAAACTGCCTCTCCGTTAACCCTTATTACATTCTTGGCAGGACTAGACTTCCTGTCTCAGGAACGTCTCTGGAATTTTTTTCCCCTCCTTTGCTGATACTTTGCTTGTGTGGAGTGACCATTTAAAGTTACAATGGCACTGAAAAAAGTGACTTATGACCATTTTTCACACTTACGACTATTGCAGCATCCCCACAGTCATGAAAGGCCAGGCGAGGAGATGCATGCCTCGATGTGAGTGATATTGAGTTGGCCACCACCAAGCCATGTCCACTCAGTCACATGACCAAGCCACGCCCACCATCTAAGCCACACCCACAGAACCGGTTGTTAAAAATTTGAATCCCAGCCCTGGTCTAAGGTATTTTGCTGCTGGACGAAAAAGGCACATATAGACTCGTGTATACATGTGCACATACATGCATCCATACTTATGTATAGAATTAGATTGCCATTGCATATTAGATTGTAACTGGTAATTCCTATCTGATGTGTGATAAGTGACAAGTCACTTAGGACAGGGGTCACCAATCTTTTGGACCTCAGGGACCATGAAACTCATTATTTTAAATCCTGCGGACAACTAATGTGACTTTTGACTGACGTGGTTTGCTGACGTTGGTGGGAGGGAGAGGGAGAGAGAGAGAGAGCTGATCTAACCTCGGAGGGCTGGTGATGTTCTTTCTTTCTCTCTCTCTCTCTCTCTCTCTCTCTCTCTCTCTCTCTCTCTCACACACACACACACACACACACACACACACACACACACACACACAAAAACAGATCCCTCACACACCCCCACCCCCTCCAAGGCAGCCCCATTCCTAGCCTGCTTTTGAGCTCTGTTCTCAGAGGAAGAGGAGAAAGAGAAATCTGATCTAACCTTGAAGGCTGATTTTCTTTCGCTTTCTCTCTCTCTCTCTCTCTCTCGCACACACACACACACACCCTCCAAGGCAGCCACATTCCTCGCCTGCTTTTGAACTCTGTTCTCAGGCTTCATGCAAGGGAAGCAGCAGAAGTCTTTCTTTCTCTCCCCCCAAACTCTGCCAGAAATGAGCCTTTGCCGGCACAGCCTCTTGGAGCAGGATGCCTTGCAGGGTCCCAAAGACTCATTTCTGATGGAGTTTGGGGGAGAGAAAGACTTTTGCTGCTTTCCTTGCGTGCAGCCAAAAGCAGAAGAAAAAAGAAGCGGAAGAAGCAACCTGGTGGCCAGGCAAGTTCCCCCCTCCACCCTTTCCCCCCCTCCCCTCACTACTTCATGTTATTCCTAATGCAAGCCTTGTGTTCCCACAAGCCGTGTGGGCAGCGCAGCCTTGTGTTCCCCTGCGGCCTGGATTAATTGCTTTGTGGGTGACATTTCTCTGCGGACTACCAAAATTTTCTCACAGACCACCAGTGGGCTGTTGCCCACCAGGTGGTGACCACTGACTTAGAAGACATAATAAATTTGCACAGAGCGTTGAGGTAATTCCCCATTAGGAGAATGAGCGCGCACAGGGAGACGTAGTGAGAGTAGTGAAGAATAATACACAACCAGCACACAGATACA